CTATAATTTATTAATAAATTTTACAAATTAAAAGTTTAATTATATAAAAAATTTTAGGGGCTTGTTATAAAAAAAAATTATTATTTGTTTTTTTTTTTAATGTTAAAGATGAGACCTTGCTCTTATTTTTATTAGATTTAACAAAAACTTTTTACATGTCTTGAAAATGTTTTATTACTTAAATCTAAGGCTAAAAAAAAAGAACTCAGACATATATCTAAGTAAACCTAAATACTTATCTGTGGCCTAAACCTACCAGAGTGGCCAAGGCTAACCTATATTTGGGGATAGGTAAGAATATAGGAGGGGTGTAATAAAAATTTGATCCAGTTAGTATACCAAATTTCTACTTTATGAAGAGAGTTAAATGCAGTAGAGTTGGAGATATTAATAGGTAGAGAGGTAAGACTATAACTAGATAAGATATTATCGACAGGGGTGATATTAGTGTTATTATTTAAAGTGGGGTTAAACTGTAATCCTGAGATACAGTAAGGAATCTAGATATTAGAATAAATTTGTTGGTTTAAGTAGAGAAGAAGTTGAATAGTTAGAGAACAGGCAATACTTGTAGAGGAAGTATATTCTTGTAGTATATTTATAATATCAAGTAGAACAAGGCCTGAAATTGTAGAAAACAGCGATGGTTTAAAACTAAAAGAGTGCATTTGTAAACTGCTAAGATTTTTGATTTGGTTAAAAAGGTTTTGTGTTTGAGTATGTGAAATTTGAAGTTTACAGGGGGTTGTAGAGAAGCATTAAGTAAAGTTAGTAGTAATTCTGGAGAGAGGCAAGTAGCCCAATGGAGGCATAGGTAGGTTGTTGGCAGATGTGGCTGAAGTTTGGATAAGAGTGATATCTTTGGTAAAGAATATGTAGTGATGGAAGGTCATCAAGCAATAGCTTGATTCTGAATGTTTTAAGAGTAGAGGATTGGAAGCTATATACATAGTTTAAAACTTTTTGGTTGTTATTAAGATAAATACAAGTTTATTCTAGTGAATATTAGAGAAGAAGAGAGACTATTGTTGCATACGGTGTTGGAATGACAATCATGCAAGAATATTTGTATTGCAAATAGTTCAAATACTTCACCAGATAGGAAGTTCAAGTGGATAGTTGTTGAAGATAAGAATAACTAAAGAGTTGTATATATTGTGAGAATTGAAGGTAAGAAGTGGAGACTTAGAGTGATTATGAGCTAATTCATCAGCCTTGTTATTAAGTTCATTATCCTGATGTGCTGAAACTTTGTAAAAAATAATAGAAAGGTTTCGAGAAGAGGTGAGTTTTATAGGTTCCTAAGTTCAGTTCAGTTTAGTTCGGTTGGGTTCAGTTTTTAATTTTAATTAAACCTAAAGAAAATTTTAAATTTTACAAATTTTTAAACTTAAATATAAAAGTTTTAAGTTTTAAAATTTGTAAAATTTAAAATTTTCTTTAGGTTTAATTGAAATTAAAAACTGAATCTAAACTGAACTAAACTGAACTGAACTGAACTTAGGAACTCTAGAGATTTAGAAGTGTATTCCACACAGACTAGTATGAAGTGTTTGAAAAGTTTGAAGCTGCATTAGAATGTGAAAGGCTGTTATATTTAGAAATGACAGATTGGAAGTCAATATAAATACTTATAGCAGAATTTTTTGGGACTGTAAAGATGGCTGACAGGATTGCTAGAAGTTCGGCTTTAAAGAAGCAGAGCCAAAATTCAATTTGAGCTTGAAAGGTGTGTTGTAATATATTGTTGTTAAGTTATAGCCACCCAATACCCATGAAGCATTGAGAGTTGCCTAAGTTTTGAACAGAACCATCAGTGTAAAAGGTAAAGTTATTTTGGTTACTATTTTGAGTGGCTATTGCCTGCAGTATATCAAAGGCAGAACCAGGATCAAAAACAGAAAGAATTTGAGTAGCAGAAATATTGATACTAGGGTAAAGTGTGGGAGTACTTGGGTTTGAGAGCAGAATTGAATGTAGAAGATCAAGATAGTTGGCGTGAAAGTTAAGTGTTTTGTCAGGATTGAATCTGCCAAAGAATTTCATTACATAGCTAGTAGGAATAAGAATAGTACACTTGTTGGCAATAATATTTAGTTTAGAGAACAATTGGAGCATGGAGCTATAGTTATGCAGGCAAGCGGTATGGTTGAGATTGGTAATTTGTTATATTGCATTGCCAGTAGTTTATTAAGGTATAACCAGAGTTATTTGACTGGCGATAGGCTTTTCTAATAACTATTTTGGTTATTGATGAGAGTAATAAGCCATGGCTTGAAGTGTTTGTAAAAGTGACCAGTATTGTAGCTATAATAGTTAGAAGCTGAAAGTTTGTAGTTTGGTACAAGGGAGCATTCAGAAGAGTTGATAGTTTGACTTTCAAGATAAGTAAACCAGAGGGATATTTTTCTTTTTGAGATTTTGTTAAGTCTTGAAGAAATATGTGTTCAGTCTAGAAGACAGAAGTTGTTAGATGTAGTAAGTTGATCACAAAAGAGTAAGTGGTGCTGATGGAGTTGCTTTTTAAAAGTAGAATATTTGGGGTGAAAGGCAAGAATTGATTCAAGAGATATTGAGCCTTCTTAAATTGTAAATGGAATTGGCAGGTAGAGACATGAACTAAAGAAGCAATTAATTGATTTGAAAAGTTGTATAATTTTATAACTTGTAGCATGCTTATCTAGTCTATCAATAATATGGTTAGGTTGTAGAAAAATGCTAATAGGAACCAAAGGTTGTTCTGGAGCTGTTGAACTCTAATTTGAGTTAATAACCCAAGTAGATCTTTGTTGTTTAGCAATTTATAGAAGTTAGAAATATAATATTGAAGTCAAATATCCCAGATATTTTTGATATTGTAGATTTGTAGGTGAAGGAGAGTGCTTGTTGGGATAGTGTGGTTAAGTTTAGCTTTATGTTTAACAAGACCAATATGTTGAGAAAGAATTTTGTTGCAGAGAGATTGGCTAAAAATGAGGTTCTGAAGTCGATATTTAATAGAATGAATAATAACATTATTGATAATATAATGAGCCTGGGTATCAGTAATGTGTTTAGTATTGGCAATTTGAAATAATCAAAAGGATTCAGAAATTATAAGTTGGGCTTGTTGGGATTGTTTGTTGTTTAGAGTAAACCAGCAGCCTAGAAATTTGAAGGGTTGGTGTAGAGAACAAACAGATAGGGTTTGATTATTGAATAGGGTTGGGCTATGACTATTAGATTTGGTATTGGTAGTAAGAAACAATTTGGATAGGTTGACTTATATATTTACCATTGATAAAATGATTCTGCAATGGCAATAATATTAGCTAGCTCAGTTTGTGAGAATGCCACCCAGAGGGTGTCATCTATATAGGCCAAGACTGCAATTGGCTCTGGCATAATTGGTAGTTTGTTGCTTAAAATTGATAAGCCAAGAGGCTTCTGCTATGTAGCCAGGGAAGGATGATTGTATATAAGATATAAGTGGGTCATAGTAAATGCACCACAGAAGAGGAGTTATAGTTTCACCTTGGTCAATACTATTAAGAACTTGGTATGGAGAAGTTAAACCAAAATTAGTAATAACTTCATTTTGGCAGTTAGTTAATAGATTGATAAAAATGCTAATTATAGCAGGAGGAAGGGCGAGTCTAGAAAGTGCTGTTGAAAGAGCGCAAAGTTTATTGAGTCATATGCCTTACTCATGTTCTGAGAAAGGACTTATATCTCTTTGTAATTACTATTTGCATCTTCAATTAGATTGTTGAGAATATAGAATGAGATAGATGTGCTATTACCTGGTAATGCAACTTAATTGTAGAGGGATAATATTGGGTGTTGTATAAAAACTTTGCTAAGTCTATTAGTGAGAATTGGTATAGATTTTGCGAGTATGTACAATGAGGCTAATTGGATGAGTAAGGTTTAGATTGCTATCGAAAGCATTGTTTTTGGAAATAGAGAAGATTCTTCTCTTTTTTCATTGCTTTGGTATATAGTCATTGGTTAAGCAGCGGTTGAAGAGAGCAGTAAGAGAAGAAATACAGAAGTGGTTGAGGTGTTTGATCATTTCATAACTAATATTAGTAGGGTCACATGCCTTGTTATTAGGGAGTTGGGAGATAGTTAAAAGGTTTTTTCTATAGTAATAGGTTGGGTGAGTGGAGTGTACCAATCAGGATTGAAGTATAGAAGGGAGAGGTAGTGTTGATGCCAAAAATTGTTAAAGAGTAATTGGTTGATTGGTCTATAGGCAGTCCAAGTAAAAAAGTGAGATTGTATATGTTGTTTGATATGGGTAGGATCAGTAATGAGTTGAATCGATAGTTTAATATTTGAGAAGTGTAATTTTACAAAAAAGCAATCTTATTTTAAATATAATTGTGCAAAGTTTTATTTAAATTTTTTGACATTTTAAAAAAGTAAATCAGAGCTAAAAAAAATACAAAAATGCAGAAAAATTTGTCTGTGTTGGTTTACATATTAAGGGATAGTAAATTTTAAAGCAAGATCTTTAAATTTTTATTATACTAAAGATTTCTAGTAAATTAAAAATTTTTATAATAAAGCTTATAAAATATGTTTTAAATAAAATATTGTATATATAAAATATATTCTATATTATTAATAATTTTAAATTTATTTAAAAAGTTGTAAATACTTTTCAAAATTCTGGTAAATTTACCCATTAACGGCCACAATGAATATTTTAAAAAAAAATAAGAATAGAATCAACATCAATTATTATTATAAAATATAATAAATTGAAATATTGTTAATACTTACTAAGTTCCAAAACAAGCATTATTGCCATCATGACAATAAAAATCATCATCATGATATTCGATACTGGAAAGTCCTAGAGAATCATCAGCATCTGTAGTATTACAAAGATCAACTATACTAACCTCATAATTTTCAATTTTTTCGACTTGAGGGGCATTGAAAGTTTAGACTACTTAATAAACATATCACATCTGAAGGTTGAGTATGATTATCATGAACATTATTGCTAATGTTTGAACCCCATTTTGTAATAAAATTACCATAATCTAAATACCCAGAGCGACGAAGACAGAAGATTGGTAAATAATGACACTCGTGCTCTCCATAGCAACTTGCTACAACACAAAAATCATGTAAATTATTCTGAAAGTTATTACATATTTTCACATCATTTGCTTTCAATATCAATCTAGCTAACTTTGGTTTAAGTTCAGTTACATATGTTCGACAAATTCTTCTGAATTATTCACATTTTGAAAATTTACAAGTTCTTCAAATGTTTGGTTTATTAATAAGGAATGATTTCTATTGACCATATTATCAGTTATCTTAAGTGATTTCCTAAATATTTCAGTCGAATTATCTTCAAAACTTAAAAGAATATCTGCAAATTCGTAAAAACAAATAGGCAATAAACAAGAATTATGAAAAGGACCTGAATTATCTTTATGCCAGAATGAAAACATCAAAGATGTGATAGTTTCTAATAATGGAAACACCTCTAAATAAAAGCTCTCTGATCTTATACCTTGGCCTTTTCCTGCAGGTAAACCCAATAGGGAAAGTATTATTAATACCCAGCTGTTATTATTTAATTCATGTCTCTTAGCTTTTGGGTCTGGATTAGCCGTAAGATTAATGACCATATCAGTAAAAATGTTGCCAACTTCAGCAATTGCATTTATCATGCTGTAGTAGTAATTTAAAAAGTTATTGATATAATTTTATAAGCTTCACACAAAATTTTCACAGCATCAAGAACATCACTGCATGGGTAAGAAGGTGGTTGGCCTATTTCTAAATGACTGTAAAAAGCAGTAGACTCTATAGATCTTTCTTCAAGATAAGAATTGATACATTTGGAAATATTATATCGAGGTACCATTAACTGGTAATTTACTACATTGATGCCAAATAAACAACTTATTGCAATTTCTGTAGACGTATATGAATTAATATCAGGAAAAGGTCTTAAAAAAACAATGTTATTAATGTTATCATTATCACTTGTAATATTATCAGAATTATTTGGGTCAAAGCTAAACGTGAAATATTCGTGAGGAATATATGCTATTAAGAAGACATGACTATGGCTAGTATATCTTTCTCTGGAAAACCTAGAACTAATATCAATGTTAAAATCATATGTACTAAAATTATAATCTCTAAATGTGGTAGCAAAACAAAAATTCTTAATAATATATATTAAAACTAACAAGTCACTACATTTTAATTTATATCAAAAGTTATACACTTTAGGTAATTCATTATACACTATAAGAGTTTCAGTAGAAGTACTATTTATAGGAATAGAGAAATTATAACTATTTTCATAATCAGATAGAGTAAGATTGTATATTTCTTTTTCTGGCACATAAGAACAGCTAGAGAAACCAAACATTGGCAAATAGATTAAGCAATCATCACCAAAATATTAAAGAATGTACATATGCAAATTTTCTCAAACAGGCGAGACATTGATAAAAACAGTATGTATTGTGGGGATTCTATCTAAATATTTTATGGTAATAATTGTTTGAATACTGGGTTTTGCATATTCATAAACAGCATGAACAACTGTCTTAGTATTCTGTGAAAATTTCTAAAAATAAGCACATTGAATACTGCAAGGTCTTTTTGTTGAGATTTGCAAAAGGTTGGTATTATTTTCTTTTGTTCATAAATAAGATCCTGGATCATTAATTGCATTGTCAAAAACACATATAGTATTATCAATTATCTTAATAGTCTGAAATTGAACTGTGTTATTACAATATTCAATTTGTTTGTTAATAAAAAAGGAATAATGAATCTCAAATGCTATTATATTATTTGTAAAGATTAAAGATATCAATAAGAACAGGAAAAAAATGATTAATTTCATGTTTTTATGGTAATTCTTTTTTTTTTTTTTTTTTTTTTTCTTGTTTGTTTGATTCTTTAATCATATTTTATATATTTATTAAAATGAGCACTTAGGGGAGGGCCAGAAAACACGTGTTTTCTATTTTATATAAGGCTTTCCCTCCTCCCCCAGGTGATCTCCAATTTTTTTTTATATATAGATCTATTAGTTTTAAAAGGACCTCTTAAAAACATGTGTTTTCCTTAGTATTCATTGATCGTAAAATTTTAAATTATTAATTAATATCAAAAAGAGATGATATGAATGGATATAAAGTTAGAAAAGTGTGATTTTAACTTCAAAGTTTATCAACTTAGTCAAACCCCTCAGATCAATTTTACTGAAGCACCATTTTACCAAAATCTAATCAATTTTAAATAACAAGCAATCTATCAGCATATCATTTTCAGATTATTGGATTAATACATATTTCTAAAATAAATATCACTCTATAGTCCTCACAACATCATGCTCATGAATGGTCTCACTTCTCTTATCTAATTGACTGGATAGCCTCTTGTCTATACTTTAACAACAATAAAAAAGTATCACACAACTTCACCAACTCTAAATTAAACTATCTAAAATCTTTTAAAATCAAAATACTTCTTAATATTCTTCCAATAAATGCATATTTTTACTCTATTTACCCTTTTATATTTATATCTTCTATTTGTTTCTTATACAACTAGCCTGATACCCCCTCTCACTGGTACTTCTGTGCTGACAATACACTCTTAACCCAAACTATTAACACCTCAATTTATGATATCATCTCCAACACTAATCTTAACTTTATGATATACCAACTAAATAATTTAATATATACTATCACTTCACACTTTTCCTTCAACTTCTCTCCATCACAGCTATACCTCTACACTCTTGATTCCATACTTAAAGGTCTTATACCTACTGCTCTTATCTAATCTCTGAACCCCTTTGAAATTTCTTACTCCCAGGTCTTCCAACTTATTATCAAAATACTTTTAAAAATTTTTGATAAACTCTATAATAATATCTGGATCCTCGATTGCTCCTACTTTTCACACTAGAAAAAAGTTCATCATATCCCATCACATATCAATACTATATCTCAGCCCTCTTTACTCTCTAGAAACCACAAAAACAGAATTATCTATACATACAGTTGCTCCTGTGGCTATGCCAAACAGCTACACTCTAACTCTAACACATGCTCTCCATAAGAACAAGCCTTTTTTAAACTCAATATTTGGTCCACTATGTGGATTAAATATAGTATACCCATTAATTTTATTTTAACTATTCAAATTTACAGAAGCTAAGCTTAGAACAAAAAACCCTGACAGTGTATAATTGCTATGAAAATGATGACTACCTTTGGATAGCAACAAAAATAAAAAATATTTAGAGAACAATTAACTGGCAATACGATCGGGACATAAGTACATATACTGAAAAACTCTTTGAAGAATTTGAAAGACAGTGCAGGCAAGAAAGCTACAAACACTATTTAGAAGAAGTTTACGAGAAAAAGACTGGAATAAGTATAAGTAGAGAATATTGAAAATCTAAAAGACAAACTTGGGAGAAATTTAGAAATTATTATGCAAAGACTTGGGAATGAGAATGCGATTACTGGAGAACTATTGAATCTAGAATTAAGCCAATATGAGGAAAAATAGAACTTGAAGGACCAGCTACAAAATGACTCAGGGACATACTCGAATCCAGAACTCTTAGCATACCTTGATAAACAAGTATTTTTACACAACCCATATCAACTACCAAATAGAATAATTACCCAAGTGATAGGATTTACAATAGTAGAAGAAGAAATATACATTTTATTAGCAGAACGAATCAATCCAAGCAAAAGCTTTTACCAAACATTCAATGGAATGTGAGGAAAAGAAAAACTAGACCAGAATGGAATACCAAAGGAAATTATAGAAGTAACGGCCTTAAGAGAAATATTTGAAGAATCTGAATTAGTAATAAAAAATAACAACTTAATAAAAATCCAAGAAAATTCATATTATTCAACAGAAGAATGGATTGCAACAGGCTGTAGACCAGAACAAGCAAAATATTTCATAACATTAGGACTATTTATCTTTTGACTAAACGATGAAGAAATGCCTAAAAATACTGAACCAGAAACCTTAGGACCATGGAAACTTTATTCTTTAAAACAAATAGAAGAACAACAGATACCCCTTGTACCAATGATATTACAAAACCTTTTGTACATATTCAAAAGAATTGAAGACTATCCCATACTAGAATATGTAAACCGAATTAAAACTGCACATCAATATGGAATAATAAATCCAAAAAAAACATTTGCCAAACTATTTAAAAGAATACTGTAGTTGCCTGAGCAACCAGGTAATCCCAAGCCATTTTAACAAGAGGTACCCACTTTGAATCTAGAGATTTTGATTTCCAAAACACAAGAACATCCACATTTTCATCAGGCATATTTAAATATTCATCTAATATATTACAACTAATTGACATATCATCATAAGATCATTTTAGATGATTTCGAAAATAATCACGAGCTGAAGTTAAGTGATTAGTTTCGAGAACCTGCACATTTATTTCTTTATTAGGGGGGCATAGCTTTTATAAGTTTTATTGATTATTTGACATACACTATCTCTTTCAGAGTCAGATTGGAAAGTAGAAAATTTGGATGATAGGTTGAGCAATACCACTTCTAGGAGAGAAGATTGTAATTCGTTCCAATATTTGTTAAGCTTTTCAAGAATTTTTACTGACATACGTAATTTTACTGAATTTATTTCATTTTTAGCTTCAGTAAAGTGCGAAACAATTACAAAAAAAACTGTGCGCACGTCTCCAATAGTTGGGTGGGTCGAAGAAAAAAGTAGGTTGGTGGCTTCATAAATGGGCTCTAATAGTAACATTACAACTTTAATATTATCCCAATCTTGGTCAGTCAAATATTGTTGTTTAAGATGTGGTTTTGAAACCACTAATATATCTGTCATATCTTTTATTTTATATAATTTTTTTAACATTAAATACAAGGAGTTCCACCTAGTTTCACAGTCAAGCTCGGGTATTAAAAATGGTTGACTCTTCATCGTGAAGATTTTTTTTAATTCTTCGAGGCAAGGTTGGGAATGGCAGATACAACTCGCAAATTCTCATGCTTTTTTAGTTGATTCTTCAACTACGGAAAGACCATTGATGACAGCGAGGTTAAGTATGTGGACGGCGCATCACAACCAGCAAAAGCAGTATTATCATAATTGTATTTCAACATACTAGCAAGATTTTTACCACAAATATCCATGTTGCTAGCATTATCAGCAGTTATTGACAAAATTTTTTTTCCAAGCCAAAACTCCTCAATTAGGTTGAAGATTGTTTCGGCTAAAAAAACACTGGTATGGCGTTTATGCAAGGGGATAAAGTCTAAAATTATACGGCACAACCGCCACTCATCATCGATCTAATATAGGGTGATTGTGAGAAAAGCCTGGTTTGTACATGTGGACCATGCATTAGTTGTGATTAACACCTTATACCTAAAATTTCTGAAAAAATTATATAGTTGCATACATTCTCTTTCAAATAACCGCCAGACATGGGTCGAGATTGTTTGCCTAGTGGGAATTCTGTAACGGGATTGAGTTCAAAAACAAATGTTTTGAAGTCCTTGTCTTTAACCACACAAAACAGCTATTGGTTGCATACGATCTAGCGGACCAAAAGACCATTCTATTTTTTTACTTTACTTTCATCACGAACACCATAATAATCTATAACTCGTGATAATTGAAAAAAAGTACGAGCATATTTGGCTTTATGGTTGGCTTTAAAATGACGTTTGATTGTACTAATTCCGGTTTTCAATCCATAATTTGTTTTACATAGTTTGCAATAGATTTGTTTCTTGTCTGGAATTAGTTCAAAATAACTCCAAAGAGGGTGTGCATTTTTACCACGTTTGAAAGTTTGCTCATCGTTATTAGAATTACTACTCAATTCAATTAAGGTAGATGTAGGATTTTGTGAGTATTCAAGATAGTTATTAAGAGACATAATGACTAACAGGATTTTGCGAGAATCTAAATTTTTGAAAAAGAAATGCCTTTTATACTTACGAAGAATAAAAAAAAAAATTGTATCGCGGCTAAACAAACACACTCAACAAACACAAAAAAAAAAATTCAACAAAGAAAAAAAAAAATTTAACAAAAGAAAAAATTCAACAAAAAAAAAAGTTTAGGTGGGGTATTTGTGTATTAAATTTTTGTAATTTAAAAACACGAATTGAAACACGAATTAAAGAACAATTGCCATTAATTAAAGGAGGGGAATTCAAGCTAGTAACATTCAAACGATTTAATGAATGTTCTATGTTCATCCAATTCCATGATGATAGCGACAACCAACAGTATTTATTTCACCAGCATCACTGTTTTTGCATGTTTTTGGTAATAAATGAATGCTTTTATGTTCGTCCTTTTACGTTCCAGCTTCCATCACTGTTGTGAAATAAAGGTGAACAATTGTCATTAGATAAGATAAAGATGCCCACACTAAAAGCTTTATATAGTTACGCCATAATATTATCAAAAAATTGATCAAAAAATGAAAGAAAACCTAATCAAAGTCATTGGTACTTACTAATAATATTAATCCGTGAGGCAATTATTGATCAAAAAACAAAAATTTTTATTAAGCCATCGGTACTTACTGATAATGTTAAACCTAAGTAATTATTGATCAAAAAATGAAAGAAAAACTGTTATAAAAGCTATCAGTACTTACTAATAATATTATGCTATGCAATTATTGATCAAAAGCGTAAAGAAAACTAACGAAAGCCCATCAGCACTTACTAATTTTGATCAGCAAAATTCACCAATTGAGTACCTATCTGCTATTAAATTTTTACCTATTAATCGCCCAATTTGTGAAAGTACCACCATTTAAAAAGTATTGTTATTGATTCATATCAAATTAAATCTATTCGATGTGTCAAAAACGACACTTAATATATATCATGTGAGACCTGGACTGGTTTTTGGACCAGTCCTGAACTAGTCCCGGTCCGGACCAGGTATGAACCGGTTCCCCACGGACCACTTAACATCCCTACTTTTACATGTGATAAGAATACAATTAGCCACATATACAGTACAACTTTAAATTGTCTATTTAAATAATTTATCTAAAGATTTTACACTGGTAATATATTGCAAGATAGTACACAAAATTGTATAGTGATATAGCCTGTTTTTTTCTAGCAAGTTGAATTTAAAAACTTACAGACAACTGTTTAAAATTTGCCAGAATCAAATGATAAATTTTGTGCAATAGTATAAAATCTTATATTTCGGATTTTAGATAATCTAGAAATGCTTTAGACAGTATTTATAAATATGTTTCTCTAGAAGTTTTGCGAAAAGACCGTTCACACTGGCTGCAGATATTTACTGTACGTCTTTTGCCAAGACCTTTTGATGTTTTAAATGGTGAAACATCGAATTTCTACGATTTTATTTATTTGTTCGAGTAATATAAACCTGAAGGAATAATTTATCATTTGTTACTAGTACCCTAGCCATGGCAAAAAAAAAGTTGCAGCCATTCGAGATTCTACTCGAACTATCACGTTCTGATCGGACGAAATCAACGATCCTTGATAACAACATTATCAAAAAGCAATGAAATTTTTTTTATTACAATTCTATGAATCCATAGAATTAAAATAAAAAAAATATTCATCGATTTTGGACAGGTAGTTATCGAGATATCATCGCCCAAAGTTTAAAAAATTTAGGCGATTATCAAACTGCAGCTAAGTTTTTCCCAACCCTTGAGCGATATCTCGATAACTATCTATTCAAAATTAATGAAATTTTTTTATTTTAATTCTATGAATTTATAGAACTATGAATTTGTAGAATTAAAATAAAAAAAAACTTCATAAATATTAGGTAGACGATTATCAAAATAAGACCGTAGCCAAGTTTTTTCCAAACTTTGAGCGATGATATCGCGATAACTACCTATTCAAAATCGATGAAAATTTTTTTATTTTAATTCTATGAATTTATGGAATTAAAATAAAAAATTTTTGTCTGTTTGGCGGATAGTTATTGAGATATTCTCGTTTAAAATTTAAAAAAATTACAATACCGCGATTATGTTCTTTCTAAATTTGAACGATGATATCTCGATAACTACCTATCTAAAATCAATGAAATTTTTTTTATTTTAATTTATGGATTCATAGAATTAAGATAAAAAAAAATCCATCAATTTTAGATAGGTAGTTATCGAGATCCATCGTTCAAAGTTGGAAAGAACTTAACCGCTGTTTTGATAATCGTCTAAAATTTTTTTGAATTTTAAAGGAGAATATCTCGATAACTACCTAACATCGATGAAAATTTTTTATTGTCCGGAGCGAAACGGAGGACACTGTTTTTACGGCTGCAAGTGTTCATCGAGATCACGTGGAGTTGTCCGTCCGGCCGCTTCCGTGATGCTAATTGGTTGAACACATGATCGTTTACATGATAACTCCGGATACATAATGCTACTCATTACCTAGTTTTATGGATTCATAGAACTAAAATAAAAAAAAAATTTATTGATTTTGAATAGGAGTTATCGAGATATCATCGCTCAAAGTTTAGGAAGAACTTAGCTGCAGCTTTTGATAATCGCCTAAATTTTTTAAACTTTGGGCGATGATATCTCGATAATTGCCTATCCAAAATCGATGAATTTGTTTTTATTTTAATTCTATGAATCCATGGAATTAAAATAAAAAATATTCATTAATTTTTGATAGGTAATTGCCGAGATATCTCCACTTAAAGTTGAAAAAAAATACAATATTGCTATTAAATATCATTAATTTCGTCCAATCGAAGCGTGATAATTCTTTTTTTCGCATGGCTAGGATACTATGTTAGGCTATGGGGTGCTATATGGGTGCAGGAAAAATCTTTATAGATTGACTGCTTTGTGTAAAATGCCTAAATGTCGCACTTAGTGTTGTAAGCCACATGACTTTAGTCGGTTGGCTAAGCCAGCCGATTAAAATTGAACCTATGCGCCGGACAAAAAATGCGCGGCAGATCCTCGATTTTGATTGCCTAAAAAAAATTAAGCCATAACTGATAATTTTACTAATGAAATCGCAGCCACCCATTAAGTGAAAATTGTTCCTGCGTGCTTATTTTTTAAAAATTTCTATTTTTGTAATGAAAAAATTAAAAAGTTAATTCCGGCCGGAATTTAGTAAACAATTTTGTAATGCGGATCAATATTTCGAAGATCATCGGCCGTTAGCCAATCAAAATCGAGGATCTGCCGCGCATTTTTTGTGCGGCACCTAAGGTAAATCCATCGGCTAAGCGGCTGGCTAACAGCAGGCCAATAGTCTACTTTTCGGAATACTTCGGAAATTTTCTCAAAGCATTTTATGTTTATTCATTTTCCTTCTCGGAATTTATCGTAATCCTACTATTCATAAATCATGTAACTATTATCCGCATTAGTCAGCTGACCATATTATTTCAGCTGGCTTAGTTCAGTAGTTGGTTAAGACGGCTTAGCTGCGGCTGCCCTAATCAGTTTATAACACTATGTCGCACCCACATATGTGTCACCTATATTGTATTACTCGCTGCCCAAAACACCAAATAAAGTTCTATAGCAGAAAAGTTACGCGAGTTTCCTAAGAGAATACAATTTATTTGTTTTCCGTAAACATAAATTCTTTGTGTTACCACTAATGGCGAATTAACGATACGTATTACTTGCTGACTGTATTAACGTTAAAGTATTATTACCACATGAACTTGATGTGAAGTGTTTATATTTCGCTATTTCAAATTTTCCACTTCTTCACTATAGTAAATATTTTTATAAAGAGACACAATATTTATTTACTTTCTGTAATATTAGTATTGTGGATATTAAATAAATTCGGTCTATGGCAGATTGGTTTAAAGTTGCTGTCGAACGAAAATATATTAAATTATTCGAGTATGGATCTTTTGAGAATTTGGAAATAATCGGTCAAGGAGGGTTTGGCAATGTGTTTAGGGCTCATTCTAATGATATAGGCCAAGTAGTAGCTTTAAAAGAATTACATAATAATTCCACAAGTAAGAATGAAGATTCGTTTCGTGAATTCGAAAGAGAAGTATGTGAATTTATTTATACCTCTTGTTACTTCTTATATGTCATTAAGCCCATTTATTATACCACTATATAAGATTAAAAACATTACTGAAGTCAATTATCATAAAAATGTAACAAGATTCTTTGGGGTTACTCAACGTATGTTAATTTTATGTAATATCTGATATGATAACATACGTTTTTATATAATCGATAAATTTGAATTATGTAGATCCATCAACTAATATATACTGTATGGTTTTTAAGTTTGCAAATAATGGAGATCTTCGAAGCTATTTACATGATCATTTTTCAGAATTAGATTGGCTAACTAAAATTAGAATGGCAAAGGAAATTTCTAGCGGAGTAAAATGCTTGCATAATGCGAATATTGTTCATCGTGATCTTGTAAGAATATTTTCACTTTTCTGTCGAGTGTAGTGATGCGGTAGAATCGTTCTAATGATTGCCGTAACTAAGCTTTAGCTAATTCAGTAATTACAACTTAAGCCGTAATTATTAGGACATCATTGGGACGATTCTACCACATCACTAGTCAAGTAATGGACAGGTTATATCGATCAACAGTAGAGATATCAATTTCCTGCGGCTTTTAATAACCTGAAATAATGGTAATAAACTAAATTATAAATAGAATTATTTAATTCAGGCATGCTAATCTACAGCCGTTTTCAAAAATTTGTGAAAAGATGCAGATCACTATAACATGGAGAATTCACGATATTTCCCAGATTTCTAGAGTTTTCTAATCGGATTTTTAATTTTTACTAAGCAGAATTTCCACTTCTAGATTCCCACATGGGTATATGGAAATTGTTTTCCACATTTTTTTGAAAACAGCTGTAAATTATTTTAAAAATACCACACATAAATTATCTCAAAATTTCCTGTTGTGTCCATTACCGTTCTTTTTTTTTTTTTTTTTTAATCGTATACGTGCATGGTAAAATACTGAATTTAATAATTTAATCGTTTTGCTAGCATGATAGGAATGTATTAGTGAATAATGGTGTACTAATGATTACTGACTTTGGTTTATCAAAATCATTGGAAAGTAACTCATTGT